TGTTCAAAAATTTATCTAGCCTTGCCTTAAAAACATTCAGTGAGGTAGCTTCAACCGGTTCACTGGGCAGGGAATTCCACAGATTCACAACCCTTTGGGTGAAGAAGTTCCTCCTGACGTCAGTCCTACATCTGCTTCCCTTTATTTTGAGGCGATGCCCTCTAGTCCTAGTTTCACCTACTAGTGGAAACAACCTCCCTGCCTCCATTTTATCTATTCCCTTCATAATCTTATATGCTTCTATAAGATCTCCCCTCATTCTTCTGAATTCCAATGAGTATAATCCCAGTCTACTCAGTCTCTCCTCATAATCCAACCCTCTCAACTCTGGAATCAATCAAGTGAATCTCCTCTGCACCCCCTCCAGTGCTAGTATATCTCTTCTCAAGTAAAGAGACCAAAACTGCACACCGTACTCCAGGTGTGGCCTTACCAGGATCCTATACAGCTGCAGCATAGCCTCCCTGTTTTCAAACTCCATCCCTTGAGCAATGGCAGACAAAATTCCATTTGCCTTTTTAATCACCTGCTGCACCTGCAATCCCACCTTCAGCGATTCATGCACAAGGACACCCAAGTCCCTCTGCACAGCAACGTGCTGCAATTTTTTACCGTTTAAAACATAGTCCATTTTGCTGCTATTCCTACCAAAATGGATGACCTCCCACTTACGTCTCTCTGGTTGACCCTTTGGGCCTGCAGGGGCAGTCTTCCTTACCTCTGGCCCCCTCGTTGGGGCATGAAGCTTCCAGTCTCGATGATCACATGATCAGTCTCTGGGAGGCCCACCTCCTTGTATCTGGCAGCTGGTTCCCCCCACCCGCTGATTTCCCCAACATAACAGGGGTTTACTTCCCTGTCAACAAAATGCCAGTGGGGAAATCATCCTTAATAGAGCTTTCAATTATTTACATTGACTGCCCACCTCTGTTTGGTGGGCAGCTGATCTGCATCTGGTCTCACTGGTTTGAAACCACCCCAATGGCGGGAATGCCTTAGGTCCTGAGGCCCACCTCCTCCCATCCCACCAGGAAATTCCTGTCTCTTGGCTCCTGGATGACATATAAGCTTAGAGTCGTTTTGAGACGTCTGATTGTTTGATGTATATATTTTAAATTCTCAAATAGTATATTTGTCCAAAATGTTGTATTTGAAAAATAAATGTTCAGTTCTAATTAAAGTCAAACTCTTGAATAACATTTAAGGCGAATATTCTACTTGAGTAATTTTTTTAACCCCATTCGCTCAAAGGAAATGATGCTGATTGGTGAATTAAAATGTCTACACCAAATGTTTCTTCCCTCGTGATTTTAAACAACAAGCAGCATCAGGTCAGAAACACGCAATTTAAATAAAAATATTTTTTAATTTTTGAAGAACTTCTTGTGATCAAGTGTCAATGTTGGGTTTCCTTTGCGCTGACTTTCTCCCCCCTATCTTTGGGCAGAACGGCTCAATTGGGTAACACTATTGATGTGGTATACATAGATTTCCAAAAGGCATTTGATACAGTGACACACAACAGATTTGTGAGGAAAGTTATTGGTTATGGGATAAAAGGGACAGTGGCAATGTGGAGACAAAATTGACTGATTGATTGGAAGCAGAGAGAAATGGTGAATAAATTCTTTTTTCAGGCTGGAGGAAGGTTTGTAGTGGAGTTCCGAGGGCTCAATATTGGGACAGTTGCTTTTCCTGATATATTTGAATAGTATAGATCTTGGTTTGCAGGGGAATATTTTAAAGCTTGCAGATGAACTAAACAATGAAGAATTGTAAACTAAAAAGAGGACAGTGTAGAACTCCAAAGGGACATTGACGAATTGGTGGAATGGGCAGAGAACTGGTAGATAAGGTTAAATGCAGAGAAGTATAAGCTGACATATTTTGGTAGGAAGAACATTGAAAGACAACATAAAATAGGTTTTTCAATTCTAAAGGGGTTGCAGGAGCAGAGAGGTACAGATACATATGTGCACCTATGTAGGCAGGAGAGGTAGAGAGAGCATTATATGAATCATATTATCCTTGCTGTTATTAATAGTAACATAGAGTGGAAGAGCAAGGAGGTTATGCTGAACTTGTAGAAGACGCTAGTCAGACCTCAGCTGGAATATTGCGTGCAGTTTTGGGCACCGGATTATAGGGAAAGAAGTGAACACATTGGATACAGGGTAGAAGAGGATTGCGAGAATGGTTCCAGGGATGAGAAACTTCAATTATGAAGATCGAGTGAAGGACTTGGGATTGTTCTACTTGGTGATCAGAGGCTAAGGGGAGATTGGTAGAGGTTTTAAAAATCAGGAGTGGACTGGATAGAGTAGATAGCGAGATATTGTTCACATGAGAAAAAGCCTTTTCACTCAGTGAGTAGTTATGATCTGGAATTGACTGCCTGCAAGTGTGGTGGAGACACTTTCAAGTGAGGTATTGAAGAAGGTATTCATACGATTATTTGGAAACAAAATTTGTGCAAGGATTTGGGGACAAAGTGGGAGCTTGGCACTGGATGCCGTTGTTCATTTGAACAGCGGACGCAGGTGCAATATGCCGAATGTGAGTCAATAATCAGCACATGTGCTAATGTCCCTACAGGTTTCAGATAAGTGAAAAAGATTTGCAGTTTCTACATAAAATGTGAGAGTTAAAATGGCCAAGCCCTATTGCTGAGGGGATTATGACTTTAAGCTTGCCTCAAAGTTGTTGAGTTGAAATTCAGGGCATATAATTTTTAATTTCACCAACTGTGTCTCTGGTCTCCAGAAAGTCTTCCCCAGCCAATTCTTTCTTGGGATGTAAGCATTTCTGGCAAGGCCAGCATTCATTGTCCGATCCTAACTATCTATGAGAAGGCAGTTTTGTGCCATCTTGTGGAACTACTGAAACATTTGGTGAAGTAGACGATCTAGTATTAGGGAGCAAATTCCAACTTTTTGACTCAGTGACAGTGAAGGCAGAGTTGTAAAATTTAGGTCAGGAGAATATGAGGCTTGGATGGGAACTTGCAATTAGTGGTGGTGTTCTCATATATCCTTCCATTAGTCCAAGTCAGGATTTGAAAGATGCTGCTGAAGGATCCTTCATGAGTTCCTGTGGAGCATCTTGTAAATGGTGCCATAAATGGTGTAAACTGCTGCCATTAATGTTGAGATGTTGTCTGGCCAATAGCCCTGTGATGCCGGGGACATCACAAGGAGGCTGAGATGAAACATACCACTGGTACTTCAGGTTGCAAATGCTTCAACCTTGACTTTTTCACAGATGTATAAAAATAATCAGTTTTGTTTGCACAAATATCACCATTTCCACAGTGGATTGAGTAGAGTACATCTCCCAGTCCTTCTGTTCATCTGCCCTTCCTTCCTTTCCTCCCCTCAACAGCATGTTCTCTTCATTCAATGGCTCGGTTGTTGCGTGAACTTTTTTTTGACTCTCCCATATATCTGGCAAGTGCTCTGTTGCTATGATTTCCAACCAATTCATCTGGTTTAGCTATTATGTAATGCAGTGCTACAGTAAGGAGTAATTCTTTTGTATTTACCTTTCCTCTTAACACCCTTTGTTACATGGGATGACCCTGCAAATCTGTCAGCTTGATGGCAGTGTGTGTGGGGAGCAGAGGGTGGGAGAGAAACTTTGTAGGAACTAGGTGGACATCAAGTCTGTAATATTAACTTTCAGAAATGGTGCAAAATGGCCAATAATAGAACAGCCACTCATTATGCGCCAGTCCAATATTCCGTTCATTAAAATTAATTCAAAACCAATAGAGTGAGGGATATGATCTGCGACTATTTCAACATTCCCTGTAAGTTCAAATCTTGCAGTCAGAGAAAATAATGGGCCAATGTATACTATGTTATACATATCTATTTGTTATACAAAACTCTACAAACATCTTGCAAAGAAAAAACTGATTCTGACAGTAAAGCATTAAAATGTATAATGAAGATATTACAATGTTGTACTGGGAAGTACTCTGTGTAATCTCATTCATACCATGCTTTTGAATATATTGGTTAAAAAGTATAAAAATAGATTGGAATCTGCCGTGGATGTCTGAAACAACCATTAATAGAAAATGTCAGTGGCGTATTTATCAGTTGAAGAATTACATGGTTGACGTGTAATCCAGAAAAAAATTGACAGTTTAACATTTATTTTTCAAAATTCAAATCTTTCCCTCCATTTTCTGTTAAAATGATGAAATATTGATCTCATAAGTCAAGGTAGCTAGCTTTAGAGAAATGATTGTCAGGTAATATCAGTAGCTTAAACGCATTTTTAAAATATGGAACATTTGAGTGATAGTCTCTAGTGAGTGACCTAAAGTTCCATCTGGTCTCGGTGCTCAGATTCAAACATTGTTAGCATATTGCTTTTCATCATTTCCACAGCACAGAGACATCTTTGCTTCAGAAAGTTAGTTTTCTGTATAGGAGGAAATTCATGATCAGTGTTTGACATTGAGGCGATCCTATTTTGTATTTTTAGTGGATATACACAATAATATTACATACTCGCCAGTAATACAGCATGGTATCTATTGTTAAAAACATCTTTATAGAAAATCATTTGATACGAATTGATTGGATAATTTTAATCAATCTTAAGTCAACAGAGGTCATTAAATGTCAGTGTTACTTATTCATGAGGTCATTGTGACAATGATATGGGTCTGTTGCAACTTCTTTCTCCCTGCTAACAAAGACCATGAATCTCTCTAATGTTTTATTGATTATTTGTGTCTTTTTATCATTGATTTAGAGTGTTTAATGATTATTTTGTAAAATATTCTGAATTTGAAAGGATGGATATTCTTTTAACACTTATTCTCTTCTTCCTTGTTTCACACTGATGTATGTAGAAAGACTGAACAACTACTTTCCAAAGAGGAAAGATTGCAAAAAAATTGCATTAAAAACAAGAAGTTTTTTTTGAAATTTGATACCATCATTTTAAAACCAAAAATGTTAAATAAAAGTCTGACAAATTCTTACCTCGGTGAGTTGGGGATATGAGCTGCTGGATGGCTGTGATCAGGGAGCTCTGAAGGACTGTACAGCTTCCCTCTGAATGGCAAAATGTTTATTGGTATGAATCAAGTGGGTGTGGAAAAGCCCAACTTTAAGAGGTGTGGTTATTATTGTCATAGACTGATTTTAAAGTTCTTATTGGATAAAAATTAATAGGACTACTCCCAGCTGTGGTTCAGGCACCAAAAATGTCAAAGTCAGCTGCCGCTATGACCTCATTCCCCAGCTTCTTGCTCCCCCCTTCCATACTTCATCAGATTAACTGTAGTAGTGTGCATGTAAAACCCATGTACCAAGAAAGGAGAGACTGTAACTCATTCCACCCAGACTCTGACTTCAACTGGCATTGTTTTAAGGAATTGAGTTGTTTTTCTCTTACAACTGCAGCTGTTGAAATTAATTTGCTTTGACTTTATTTTCCTTCACAAAGTAATTCAAAATAAATTATCACTTCTCTCTTCCCCTTATCTTCTATATTTGGATGAAATCTTTCTAGACACTATGTAGCTTTTAAATTTATTTTCATATAACGTGAGTGTCGTTGGCAAGTTCAGCATTTGTTTCCCACTCCCGGCTGTCTTTGAGATTGTGGGCAATGATTATCATACCTTCGAAGGTGGAACCTGCTGTCTAGCCTGTCCACCCCTATGTTGGGAAATAACTCCTAATCTCTGAAAACTAATGTTTGTGTGATATCCTATCAGTAAACAGGATTAGTTCAAAGGAGTCAATTTCAGTTCAGTGAAATGTACAAAATTCATACGGGGCTCAACACAGTAGATGTTGAAAGGATTCTTCCACTTATTTTTGGCAGGAGTGGGGTGTGGTTTGGGCCTCGGGGGTGGAGTGGTGTCTAGAAACTGGTAACACTGTCTTTGTCCCAGACTTTTACTGAGTTTCCAATGTGACAAAAGTGGAGGAAGTCATAATTTGCAAGTCTTACCCCTGAATATGGTGCTTCCCATTATAATGGGATTAAGAATGGAGTTGGCTCAAAATCCCCATGTGTGATTTACAGAGCAGCGGGCCATTTAAAGCATCATGTGCATTTGGTGATGTAGGGATCTGAAGCCCAACGTGTGCAGATTAGACCAGGTGAGAGCAGTTCTGAATCTTATCGATTCATTTGAATAGCTAAGTTAAACTTTTGGAGATGTAAGGTACCAAATTTGAATCTAATGCCATAACATCTTTTGGGGAGGTGAGCTGCCATTCGGTAGATTTAAGGCACCCTTTGGGAGAGGTCAGATTTCCGTTAGAATTTGTGAAAGGTGGAAATGTTCATGTGTAAGAAGTGCAGCAAATCATTGAGACAGTTAAAACTGACACAGGGATCTGTCAGGTTAAAGCTTTTAAAACTTCAGACCTTTCAATCATGAATAAAAGTTTTAGAGGGTTAAACAAAAGATTACTTTACATTTCACTCTGTCTATTGATATAAGCTTGAGGATTTCCATAGCTGGATTGTGCTGCCTGTCATATTTCACAAGGTTCTATCGTCAGAGTAGGGTGCCTTCTATTTCACAGTTTTATTCACAGCTACAAATCATTTGAACTTTTTGATGTGGGACTATGAATTCCAATGTTCATTACACTTGAATTAAAGTTTGCTTTATGAAGCTTTATTGAGGTGAAGGAATTTGCATGTAGAAAATGTGTTTCTTTTGTGAATAAGTATTTTTCTCAATTTAGCGGCCTGTAGTGGAATGCCTTTATTTAATAGAATTTCATGTCTCCTTATCTGAGAATGGCTCATGAGGTCTGCCTACAGTGAGTACTATGTATCTTATTACAATAAGTTAAAAGGTAGAGTTTGGTGGGTGAGGTTATTGCTTGACAAGAGTTGACAATCCAATTCCTATACCCAATGTTCTGATCAATGAAGGCAAAGCATGCTAAATGCCTTCTTCACCATCCTATCTACCAGTGACTCCACTTTCAAGGAACTATGAACCTGTACCCCTAGGTCTCTTTGTTTGGCAACACACCCTAGGGCCCTACCATTGAGTGTGTAAGTCCTGTCATAGTTAGCCTTCTCAAAATGCAACACGTTGCATTTATCTAAATTAAACAACATCTGCCACTCCTCAGCCTATTGGCCCATGTGATCAAGCTCCCATTGTACTCTGAGAAATACTTCTTTACTGATCACTGCACCACCTATTTTGGTGTCATTTGCAAACTTACTCACCCTGCCTCCTATAAAAGGTGAAGTGGATTGGCATGCATGGGGGATGGGAGAGTATAGGGTGGTGAGGGTTGAATGTTGGAAGGATATTCTATGTATTCATTTTTACTTTTAGACTTTGCTGTAGCATCGGAGCCCTGACAAGTTTTCCGCCCATCCCACCTATCAAATTGGCACCCTCTTTAGGTCTTCCTGGGTCACCCACCCCAGCTTGCTGAAAATGGGGACTTAAGGCTCCTTTTTTTTATGAGGTTATGTTGTCTTTACACCAAATCCTGGAATAAAAAGCAGGGTTTTAGAATAAGGGTATGTCATTTAGGAATGAGATGAAGAGGAATTTCTTCACAGAAAGTGTGTTGACTCTTTGCAAAATCCTCTATTCAAGAGGGCTGTGCTGGTGCAGTCATTGAGTATATTCAAAACACAGATTAATAGATTTCTGCATATTAAAAACATTAAGGGCTGTGGTGATAGTGCAAGAAATTGATATTAAAAGTAAAGGTCAGCTATGTTCTCATTGAATAATGGAGCAAGCTCAAAGATCTCAAATGCATAATATTATGTGACCATTAAGGCAATAGAGCCAAATGATCTGACCCCATCCACAGAATCTTTCAATTCCATTTCAATTCCTACTTCAAAATATCACTTCAAAGGAATATTTGTGAATAATTACCTTGCATTTATTGGTCTCTTAGAGTATTCCAGACGTTCTGTGCCACCAGCAATGAAACAGATGTTTGGAAGGACTTTTCTTCAGGAATTTTAAATGTGAGAAATTCCATAATGAATTTAATGCCTCAAAGAAATACTGTGATATCTTGTGTGAGTTCCACACTGAAATCCTTCATGTTGTGGCTTTTATGGGAAAAGTACAACCAACAGAAGGCTGGACAGGTAGCACCAGACAACACGGCATTCATCCATTTGTTTTTATCCACATTGGAATCTAAGATAATACAATTTTAAGAGAGCATTTCCTCCAAATGTTGTAGTTTATAAAGAATGATGGTGTTTATGTTATATACTGAATAGAGAGGCGCAGATTTTGTTATTAAGGTTACCATTGTCATAAACTTTATGCTATAGGATCATATCACGGGGAACATCAATAAGATAAACAAAGTGACTGCAGGCTTGTTTGCTTGTGCAAGTGAATTGGTCTCCTTCCCCATGCATTATGAGACAACAAAGTGGCAGTATTGGTGAATGTCCATGGGGATTATGGATTGTAGTATATGACCATTAATGCTGGTTTGCACATGTCACTGTGGTTATGATCCCATCTGATGGTAACATTGGACAAGTCACATTGCAGAATCAAACCTGACTTGATTGATCGTATGTTTAATTTTGCAGTTCATTAATGTGTTGGTTGGTCACTAAAGCATGATTACACAAGGCTGAAGATGTTCTTTAACAACAGAACATAAATATATTACGCAAAACAAGAAAATTAACAAAAAGCTTTGAAGAGACAATTAGAAAGGCATTACCACAGGCATCTAAACACTGTTTCAACCTATGTCCAAACACTACCTGTTACAGAGACTGAATCCCAGAGAACTGTCACTCCTACCTCAGCTTTTTAAATCTTTATTTAACTGACTCTTTCCTGGTTATTTCAATTGAACTATGAGACCTTCCTTTTATGATTCCTTCCTGAGTTCACTACCTTGAACCTCTCTCAATTCTGAGGGTCTAAACTCCTGCAGTTCTAAATGCTTGATGATTGCGATCCAAACTCTCCTACCTTGGAAGCTCCATAAACTATAAACCATTTCTGCTGAGGTGAATAGTGCCTCAGAATTGACTTGATGGTCCTGCTAGATGAAACTGTTCTAGTTCTGAACTAAACTCTGGGATCTTCTGAACTAAAGTTTTGAATTTTCTGTTCTGAATTCAAAAGTAAATTAATTGCCTTGATGTGTTTATTCTGCCTGTCATAACCACAATGATTTAAACATTTTATCCATTAAGAACACATACGTTTTCCCAGACAGTCTACTGTAATTGCATGTTTTCTTGGAACTGATCTGTAGGTCACTGTTCCAAATTGATTTTTTGACCTTTCTTTAAAAATAACCACAGAACTTCCCCACATCTATCTTCCTCTATTTTGATTTCCAAGTCCAAAAATGTATGTTATACATCTTTCATCATGCTGTCTGTGTGAATGGAATGAATTCTGCTCTTGTGTTCACCTCATAGTTTAGCACTGAATTATGTAGGTGAGTGTTTACTTATTACAATGCCTCTACACTGCCTAAAACTACTGAAATAGTGCTAGATTTAATTATTAGACCAGCACACAATGAGATTACATTTATTTGTTTCAAATATGGCTTTAAAAAAACACGCTGGATAAAACCCCGATTGTTGGAATTTCTTTCAATAAAAGCCCCACGGCGAACAATACATGTATAGGTTATATTCATGGACTAGTAGCTTGGACCAATAATCCAGAAGACAAGTTCAGATTTTACCACGACAGTTGGAGAATTTGAATTCAGCTGTTGAACTGTCATACAGAAAGAGGAAACAATTGTTTTTATATGGATTGACCTCAGCATGATTTAAGCCTAGACAAACATAGTTGACTCTTAACTGCCCTCTCTATTTACCTTGTAAGTCAGTTATCAAATCAAACAAGGATGGGCATTAAATGCAGATTTTGTCAGAAATATTAAATGCCAAAAATGAATGAAAAAAGAACTGGCACAGAGGGCGAAAAGAATCATCCTGTATGAAATCTCTGAAGCATGGAAACTTGTCTTGCATTTGAACTGCACAAACTGACTGATAACGTTTTGAAGCCTACGTGTTAGTCAGTGCGTAACAGAAACTTCTGA